CACACACACACACACACACACACACACTTTGCTTCATAATGTTTTTCAATCTCAGACACGATATTGCACAAACGCTTAAGTATTAATTTTTACTATAGTCTTTTTTTAACATACTTCTATGCAGACGAGTTACTTTCTGATTTTTCCTAAATAAATTCGGAGCTATTGAACTATAGTAGCTGTTAACATTTTCAACAACATTAATACATCTTAGTTGATGTTATGAATGACACAGTACTGTGTTGAAGTGATTTCATTTTCCATTAGACAGTCCATACAATGGAAGAGGAGGAAAAGCAAAGAGTCACTAATATGATACGGCGCACCAAACTTCACAAGGATTATCTCGATAACAAAAAGAAAGAAGAAGACGCTAATGTTGCGGAAGAAAGTAAAACGAAAAGAGAAAGAGAAAACAAGGCTGGGGGAATAAGTGACGAAAGTGATAACCAAAAATATGATGAAGTGAAGGAAGACGAAAAAGAAATGAATGAAGGGGACGAAAACTCATTTTCTGATAACGAAATTGAGAACGATCACAACGAAAAAAGTGATGTAAGAGAAGTTGAGTGTGACGAGGAGAAGGAAAATGAGGACGATACGAACGGAGATGAGATGGACGATGAGGAGTTAGAAGAGGGTGACGATGAAGTGTACCACGAAGAAGAGGAGGAGGGAGAGTGTGTGGACGAGGAGGTGAGGGAGTACCGCCGTCTACGTCACCAGCAGATCTGCGAGCAGCTGCAACGGCAGCAACATCGGGCCCTGGATAGGTCCAGCTCTCAAGGACGTACCTCGTCGACCAAACACCCGCCCAACAGATACATCAAGAAGTGTAAGAGCGCCACCTTCTCCCTGGATGGGATGTTGTATACCATAGGTGAGTAGCTCTGTGTCCTCGTGTCCCGGTATCCAATGGTTTTTCTGGGCATTTCTTTCTCTATCGTTGTATAACTTGCAGTTATTTTGTTGGGGGTTTTGCGGTTGTTGTTTTTGTTGTTGTTGTTGTTGTTGTTATTGCTGTTCTTGTTGTTGTTGTTGTTGTTGTTGTTGTGCGTGTGTGGGTGGGGGGGGGGAGGGGGGAGCCTATCCTTGCGAACTGTTTGGAGCCCCTAACGCCAGGGCCACCTCCTCTCTTGTTGTTGTTGTTGTAGTTGTTGTTGTTTTTGTTGTTGTAATTTGAAACATGTACGTCTCTCTATGATAGCATAACGAAATATATAAAGACTTCAGTGGAATAACCACCTTGTCACAATTTTTAAATAAGTTGTTTTTTCTCGTTGCATTCTATTAAAGTCATATTGCCATCTCTGCAAATGAGACCATAGATACTCCAGCGAAGTCCTGTGTTAAAAAAGATAAAAGAAATTCTATACGCGCCATGAGATACGCCTTTCTATTATTTGAAGTTCCATAATATTCTCCACTTTCTTAATGGGACTTACCAGGGGTTTCTTTCCCAATGGAGTCTCCATTTGTATTGGTAATCCGATTCTTAGTGTATGACTCTCAAGAATCATGCAGGTGTATGCCTCAAAGAAAATTTAATGTCTTCACTCTCCGTTATCTGCGCAATCCTGTTTCTTAGGGCAGTTTTACTTTTATTTTCAATTGAGATATCCTTATTTTTTTAAACAAAGGGGGCTCACGTTACCTGAGTTTGTATCGTGCTTGACTTCAGAGCGGAACGCAGTGGTTCGAATCCCCAAACAGGACAATCTGAACTTGGTTTGTTTTAGGGAGTATATACGCCTCTCCGCCCATATGGTTCGATCAGATCTGGGCTGGACGTTGGATTGGAAAGTCAGACCTGGCCTCGTAAGTAACACTATAGCGCTGAAAGGGTCGTTGCATCCACACAATGACAATGACATTGGAACAAATCATTTCAATTCAAGTTTGTTTTTGATGGATATAATACTACATCTTACAAGATTCAGTAATAGTCAGACATTTTCAAAGTGAAGGGAGCACACGGCGGGTGTTTGGGGGTGACCTAGGATTTAAGGGGGGGGTGTTAGTCTGAGGTGGGTTTTTTAGAAAATAATTCTTCAAGGACAGGCTGTTTCATCATCTTACTGACTCTCTAAATAAAAGTACTGTTCTCCAAATATCTACCCTACTCAATCCCCTCCCCGACAGACACACGCACGCACACACAAACACACACACACAAACACACACACACACACACACACACACATACACCTCCAACATACACACAGATACACACACATACACCTCCAACATACACACACACACACACAC